AGACATTTTCTTTGAAGATTACAAGGAGGCATGCAAAGCTTTCTGAACTCAGCACAAGATCAAGGACGTGTGTGTATAACGCGCAGATGGCGTCCTGATCATTTCATCTTTGAGGATACTTGATAAATTTGCTGCTGGCAATCCTGTGGCTTTCCATGGCATGATCCCCCACTGCTCCTGTGGCATCCAGATCCACCGCTGCTCCCGTGGCATCCAGATCCGCTGCTCCCGTGGCATCCAGATCCACCGCTGCTCCTGTGGCAACCGGATCCACCGCTGCTCCCGTGGCATCCAGATCCACCGCTGCTCCTGTGGCAACCGGATCCACCGCTGCTCCTGTGGCACCCCTCACTGCTGTGGCATGAAGATTGTTCTTGCCGGTGGCACTGGTCTTTGTCCTGGCGGGAGCACATCTTTGCAGACCTGTTGGAAAGACTTTGAGTGGGTCCAAAGGAAAGAGACAGTGTGATGTCTGTCAGCTAGCAGTAACAGATGTCTAGTTAGATGGGATTATGTATCAAGAATAAATTCTCATTGTAAGCCAGGTTCTTGAGGAAAGAGAAAAATTATCAATGCACCAATGACCTGTACAGAAGACTCTGTGCTATCTTTCTTTGAGCAAATCTTTCCTTTCTCTTCTATGTTTAGCAAATATTTAAGATAGAAATTAAGGCACTTAGTGATTAGTGAGAAGTGGTGGCCAGACAGAGACCAGAGCTAGACCTGAAGAGTCCTGTCTTCAGCTGTCTGAACCAGCAAGTTTTAAGTTTCACTAGTTGCTTTCTGTTATTTATGCATAGACATGGATGGAGAAGACAACCCAGGCAGAAGGACTGAGCAACAGCGACCAGAGACAGTCACAGAGATGAGACGTGTAAGAGAAGTGGTCAAGACCTCAGGATCAGAACAAAGCTGGTGATCGCTAAGAATGCAAAAGTTTGATCAAGCTGGACTTACCCTGTTCGAGGAGATGTGAAGCCGAGACAATGAGGAGAAACTGGGTGCGATATCTTTTATAGGGCGCCCGGCGTTTTCCCTCCGGAAACAAGATGAGCTCCCACTGGAGGGACTTGATTGTTCACCACCCTGAGCAGTTGCTAATTGGAGAGTTTTTACACTGCTGTTTTGACTCATGGTGTTACAAGCAGATCAATATCCTGCCTTTGGGATCACCATTCCTCTTGTTACTCCATAAAAATGTTAATTGCCCACCACGCCTGGCGTGGTTCACGCACAGGGATGGGGAGCCTTCTGGATGGTCTTGCTGCCTTTGACTAAAGCATTTACCTGCTTCTTGTGCCTAATGCAAAGCAGATGTGAGCCCAAGCTGGCAATGCAAAAATGTTAGCAGATGGGAAGGTGGGATAGTGGGGTGGGCTGGTGGGCTGGCTTGCAAAGGGATCCAGAAAATAAAAGAGGCTTGAAAGAGGCCAAACAAGGTCATGGTAGCGTGTAGGAAAAATGAGTGTGTTTGTGCAGCTTGGGAAAAAAAATCTAGGTTGTGAGTGGGTGAAGGAGACAAAGGGAATTAAGGATGCAGGTATGAGCACATGATGGAGTGGCAGAAGGTGAGCACAGAGCCTGGGGCTGGTCTATGTGGGGGGTGCCCTGAAAACAAGGAGCGTAAGCATCCTCTGCCGAGCCCTGGGAGCCAGCATTGGCCGTCCGCCTCCAGCGGAGTGATGTGGCTCCGGCCCGGGGGGGTACAAAAGGAGTCGAGTCGTCTCTGGGCTCTACAGCTGTCACCGAGGTTTGGGTTTGGGGTTTAGGGGTGGGAGATGGTGATGTGAGACTTCGAAGCAAACTCCTGTTGGACGTGTTGGGTTGGAACGATGGGAGGGGGCAAACGCAGGTGGTGGGACATGGCCAGGGAATAGCATCAAAGAGAAACCTACTTCTGAGTAAAACAGCAAGGAAACACTAAAGGAGCATTGCAATATTTCAAGTCAGTCTTTTGCTCAAAGAGAGACTTTTAACCCAAGCAGAAGGAATGTAAAACCCCATAGGAGAGAGAGCACCCAGGCAGGAGGCTCGGAAGGACAAAAGGTCTCTGACAGTGTACTATTCCGATGATACTTGTTCCAAATATCTGCTATCGGTTACCTTTAGTACCCTTTGATTGGAGAAAAAAGTAGGTAGGAATGTGTTGTGACTCTTTGAGCCCCTTCCTCCCTCTGTGCACATTGGGGAGGGCGTTCAGATCTGCGCCTCCGTTGATTTAACGCTTTGCTTTGGGTAGAAAAGTGTCTTTCTGCCTACAGAGCTCACCTGCTCTCATCCAGGACTCTAGATGCCACTGTAATATTAATAATAGCACAGACTGAATTAAGATAAAATACAGAGTCAAGGAGATTTATTGCTAACCAATGGATCTGAATCACTTGAACGAATTGATACGTGAGGAAATCAGAATGTGTCTGGGGTTATTTCACAAACGTCAGAAGAATGAAATTCTTGTGAAACTATTATTCACGATTCACTAATTACACCCCAGATCACATGGATGGTGACAAACATGTTTATAATTTATCTCAGCGATAGAGACATCCACCTGAGCATGGCCTGTTGGGGAGGATGCTCATGCGCGTTGGAGACCTGGACCCATCTACGAGACAGGACTGTATTGACCCTACAGCTGGTCTCTGAGCCCCACATATCTCCTGCAGAGCTCCTAGTGTTTTGGGAGATCCCTTGATCCTATTCTGAGTGGATGGCAGTTGTTTTCTTTGGTAATTTGTTTTTTATGGAGGGAATAGTCTTTGCAGTTGTCCTAATACAAGTCTCAGGAGACGATTTGTTCTCCAGTTTGGATCATGGTTTCTGTGTGGCTTGTATGTGGTTGTGATTCTTCCATGTGTCAGTTATTGATTTTCTATTTACGAAGGAGATAAATGAAACACAGAAAAAACCCAGAATCTTAGAATCCTAGAATCCTAGAATGGTCTAGGTTGGAAGGAAGCTTAAAGATAATCTAGTTCCAGTCCCCCTGCCATAGGCAGGGACATCTTCCACTAGATCATGTTGCTCAAAGCCCCATCGAACCTGGCCTTGAGCACGTTCAGGGAGGGGGCATCCAGGACAGGGGGAAGGCAGGATCTGGGGGACACCCTAGGTACCAGCTCAAACCTTCAAATCCCTGAGAGCTGATTTAAACACAAAGAAGATCTCTCTTTTGTTTCGATCGTGGGAAATCCCTCTCATTAGAGGTTAGACAAATCTATGTCAAAATAGCTTAAGCAGAACAACTCCTGCCCTCAGGTGTGGGAAGGGGGAGCTGCCCTCCTGAGGTCTCTGCCAGCCCTCTCTTCCACAGCTCAGCAAGCTCCAGAAGGGATTTGAAAGCGGATTTGTATGCCTTTTCCACCCCTTTTTCTGCAATAGCTTTGCTGGCACTTTTCTTTCCATGGAGGTCCCCAAGGCTTGCACAAGCAGTGTTGCCTGCACTGGGGTAGCTGAGCCATTGCACAGCCTGTGGGGTGGTCGTCTGGGCTGCCTCAGGGCTAGGGATGGGGACTGTGTGCTCTGCAACGCACATTGGCATCAACCTCTGCACATGCATGAGGAAGAGGCTGGAAAGGAAGGATTGCTGCAGTGTCAGGGCAGAGCAAGTTGGCAACCCCCATGTGTCCACCTAGAAAAGCTCCATCCCATGAAGGTGCACCCTGTAGCTGTTTTTATTTCTTTTCTTCCCCTGCTGCAGGAGAAATCTCCACCATTAATGTTGCGAAGCGGCTGATTCTGTGATGTGTCACATCCTGCAGGCTGGGCTGGGCAGGACACCAGGAGATGGAGATGATGGAGGCTCTTGCCTGGGCTGGGTGAGGTGCGAGGAGCAACTGGGGACACGATGCTGTGAGTCACTGACTCCAGATACCTGCTTTGCTGCAACAATTCTCCCAGGTGAATCCTCTTCTAACCTTACGAGGCCATATCTTACTAGGAGTCCAGGGTCTTTCGCCCACGTTTAACGAAGAGGTTGGATGACGGTTTCCAGAGGTCCCTTCCAACCCCTACCATTCTGTAATTCTGTGATTCTGTTCGAGAGAGCGAGTCCAGCCAAGTGCCACCCTGATGTCTACAAACCCATTTCTAGCCTCCATTTGACATGTGTTCCTGGTCAGCTGATCCCCATTTCTCCCTGGGTCAAAGTCTTCAGCTCTGAGAGGTCTCACCCCTCCCTGGTCTTTCCCAACACCCCTCAGCCATCAGAATGGCCTCCAGCATCACTGAGTATCAGCTGCTGAACACACGTGGGTCCTGCAGGAGCCGCCTCCCTTGGGGTGAGACAAGATCCGTCACACTTGCCATCTCTGAAGGTCTAATGAACCATGGACCAGAGCATTTATCTTCCACAAGCTTTGGCATCCCCTCTTGCTCTTCACTAGCCGTGCCATTCCCGTTCCTGAATCCATTTCCTGACTTTTTTCCCAGGGCTTTTTTTGGAGGCTTATGATGCAAGTCAAGCTGTACCCGTTGCCTTGTCAGTGAGTGAAATGATGTGCTTCTCATTTTTACCTCTCTGATGAAATGTGTGGGTTTGGTTTTTTTACATTAGCGTATTAGTACTTAATTGCTGGTGGCATTAAGAGTCCATGATGAGAACTGTTAGTTACTTCTCAACAAGGAAGTTGTCTGGAGTGGGGATAAAAAGACACCAGGTTGAATCAACCAGGAAACTCAATGTGAGGGTGAATGGGGACGCTGCAAACACCAGCTTTGGCCACAAGAAGGAACAGAAGCAATTCAAAGGGATGAAGTGGAAAACACTGATGCAAGGGGGTTATGAGCCGTAATTTTTTATTGCCTCCATGTCTACTGTGAAATAAGGGGGTGAACAGCACTTAATATTTCACAGAGACAGTGGGTCACACCTTCAAAGCACGTTACAAGCAAAATAACAGGAAGAGTGGAGATCCGTGAGCAATACAGGACATCTGCTCATCAGGGCAACGTTGCAAGAGTGAGAAGTCTCCCCCATTCATCCCTACTCCTCATATACTCTACTTTATCTTCCGGGCTGGCACTTTGCAGACCTGCTTTTGCTGCTGGCTTGGGATGCCCTTTGCCATGGGCATGCAGCCTTGCTGCATCGGAGGGGGACAGGTCTGCACTGGGATGCGCTGCATTGGCTTGCTGTAGGACAACTTTCCCCCCTGGTACCCTTGCTGCACCTGAGGGGGACAGGTCTGCACTGGGACACACTGTGAGACACACTGTGTTGGCTTGCTGTAGGATGACTTCCCCCCCTGGTACCCTTGCTGCACCTGAGGGGGACAGGTCTGCACCGGGACACACTGCGAGACACACTGTGTTGGCTTGCTGTAGGACGACTTCCCCCCCTGGTGCCCTTGCTGCACTGGAGGGGGACAGGTCTGCACTGGGACGCACTGTGTTGGCTTGCTGTAGGATGGCTTCCCTCCCTGGTACCCTGATCCATGGCACGTCTCAGAGCAGACCGACCTCCCGTAGCTATGGCATCCCCCCGATGACCCGTAGCTGTATGTGGGTCTCCTGACGCAGCTCGAATCACCTCCATGGCACGAACCAGAGGACCCCTGGCATCTCTCGGAGCAGACCGACCTCCCGTAGCTGTTGCATCCCCCTGATGACCCGTAGCTGTACGTGGGCCTCCTGACGCAGCTCGAGCCCCCGCCTCCGTGGCACGACTCAGCTGCAGCATAGCCGTGACATCTCTCGGAGCAGACTGGCTGCCGATAGCCGTAATGACGGTAGTTGTGCCCTCTCATGCCTTCAACACCTTCACCGTCGCACCCTGAGGAGCAGGTGTTGTAGCCGTAACGGAAGGGTGTGCGCCTCGTGTCCAGCCAGGACCCCGCAGGATCATACCAGGTAGAGTTCAAGTTGAAGTATGATTCTCTTCCAGAAGAGTATATCATGTTTGAGTTGTAGCGAAAAGCCTGAAAAACACGTGGCCAGATAGGCTTACACGTCCATCTCCTCTCCTCATTTAATTTCCCACAAAGCTGCTTTAGTGAGCAGGTCAACCTTGCTTATCCTGAAAGCCTGGATCTAAAGGAAAGTCTTGCAGTTGCCCAATACAGGTCAGATTATGTCCAAACCCTCTTTCTGACCTTACCCTTGATTTTTTATTCCTCCAAGAACAGAAACAACCACAAGGCACTGCAGCATACTGTGGCATTGCTGTAAATCCCATACCCAAGTCCCCCAGTAGCTTCTTTCTTGGCTTAGCCCATTGTCCTCTAGCCCTTGGTGTAGACCATGGTCATGCCAGGTCTGTGACCTCCCGAATCCAAACACCCACCCAAAAATGAACCCGGCTGCTCCGGGATGTGTCTTACCCAATTCACAAGGGAAGGCAGTTGCTGACCAGGGAAGCAGATTGTGAGTGGCAAAGGGACGGAGGCCTTTTATATGGTTCCAAGTCTTCCCCTTGTAAATGAAACACGTTGCAGGAACGAGGGCTAAATTATTTATTGACAAAACAACTCCTCCATTTGGATGCTGTTCCCAGTGCTTGGCATGTTCTGCTTGACTCATGATTTTTGATAAGTATCTCTTAATTATAACGTAGTTACTGAGTAGTGCACATAAAAGACTCACATCATTTAAGCCACACATCGGCGATGTGAGGCAGGTAATAATGTACTTATTCACCATCTCCAGAGGACCAAGACACTGAACGGAGCCTGACGGGTGACCTGTGAGTCAGGAGCCGTGATGTGCACAGTGCTAATGTCCTGGCCTTCCCCTTGTGCTACCCGTGAGGAGCATTTCCAGGTGCCTGGAGCACAAACAGGTGACTGGGAAAAGCCAGCTCAGAGTCACCAAAAGCAAATCATGCTGATGGGTTTCGGTGATGAAGAGGCTGGCTCTGTGGATGGTGGAGTGTGCTGGATGGTGCCACCTCAACTTTTGCAAGGCTTTTGGCACAGTCTCGCACGGCAGCCTTGTAGTTAAGCTGGTGGAAGTATGGACCAGATGGGTAAACGATATGGTGGGTGAAAAACTGGCTGATACTGGTGCTGGTGCTGTTTCACATCTTCATTAGTGCCCTAAATAATGGGCTGGACTTGTCAAACCTATAGGTGACACCGAACTGAGGTGAACGGGTGAAATTGCTGGAAGATGGGGTGTGGGCAGGCTGGAGCAATGGTCCTGCAGCTGGGATGGCCAAACTGGGATGGGAGGGCTGGGGAAGCTGGAGAACAGCAGCTCAGAAGACGAGATGGACCAAAAACGGATCTGGAAGCCCTGGCTGGAGGGCTAAGCTGGCCCTTGGTCTGTGGGCTCTGAGTCAGCCCTTTGGGTACCGTGCCGGGATGGTGCCTGGGAACTGGCTTCAGGGAGAAGAGGCTGGGAAGAAAATAGCTAATAAAATAAGCACTTTCTGAAGTTAAAGTGTGTATGTAAGTGGTTTTTGGTTTGGTTAAAATCAGACATAAATAAAATAAATTGTTGTGGCTTTTTTCTGAGTTAAGAAAACAAGAATGGATTTCTCTTTTTCTTTATGGTTTTCCTTGGTGGTTGCTAGCAGATGGGAGGACACATTGGGACTATGTTTAGGAAATACAAAGAAACAACAACAAATATTGTTATATATATTTTAAATATATTAAAATATATTTATATATTTTATATATATCCTATTTTTAATATATATTAATGCACCTAGCGGAAGGCTTTTCTGGCAAAGTGAGAGAAAGCCAGCACATTACCAGTGTGCCTGCAAGAGCCAGGCAGTGGGGAGCTGCGGGGGAAGAGGCTGGCCTGCATCTTCCTGCACAGAGTGAAAAGGCATTCCTGGCATGTACAGACACGCCTCACGTGCTGGGGCACACGCTTATTATCACAGTTAACTTTTATATGATGGATGGCCTCCCGGTGCAGCGTTGCTATCTGGCTAATGAAGGTGATGGCACATGTTGTGGAGCAAACTGTACCTAGATCTCTTGCTGATGGACCGCAGTGAAGTCCCTCCGTTGATCCTGTGGTGTGTAAGCAGAGTGGAGGGGATTTCACAGCTTGCAGATGGAGTTCAGCCTGGTGAAACCGCTACAGCTGAAGCTGAAATCCTCGTGTGTGAACTCTAGTTTTGATTTTAAATTTACAAGTTTCCTTGAGAGAATTTTAATGACTTTTAGTATCTTCTCACTGTGATGCTGGTAATATTTTTGGGGGTAAAAAAAAAAGGAACCAAATGTCAACTAAATTTTTTCAACTTTATTCTGGAATACACAGGGAGAAAACAAAATTACAGGAGTCCTTGATGCTCCTGCCATGGCAGTGTGTACTTTTTTCCCAGTACAGTCCTGTCTCTGTTTTCGAACAACCTCGAAATCACAGTCCGCTGAACCCATGGGAGAAGGTGAATCCATGGCAGGTCGTTTCCCTGTCCTTGCTCAGGCTCTTTCCATTTGGTTTCTCCATCCCCAGGCTGCTCACCTTCTCAGAAGAGGGGAGAAGGGGCTGCTCTACCCTGAGGAAGAGCAGAGTGGGTTTTGGATGGTGAAAGCCTGTTCCCCGGCAGGGGAGGACCCTGGGAATTTAAAGTGTCAGTGCTGGGGTCAAGCAGGGACTGCAGACCCTGAGTCCAGTGTGCAAAGAGCAGCGACGAGCCATCAGCCGCGGCGGCGTTGCGTCGTGCCGAAAGCGGAGGTGGGAGCCTCGGCGGTTTGGGTGAGGAGCGAAGCATCCCCCGTGCTGAGCGGCGTGTGGGCACGTGCTGGGGAGGGGTCCCAGTGCCTCGTTGGCCCCCTGCTCATTTCTTCTGCAAACAGGGTGGCAAGAGAGGGACCTGCTTTTGCTGGTGCTGGCTGGGATGCGGCGGCAGGGGCACAGCGGCCGGGCAGCAGTGCTGAACGGGCGGG